AGGTGTGGTGCAGCCGGGCCAGCAGCGTGCCGGTGGTGGTCTTCCGGGTGGCGTGGCGGTGGCGACAGGTCTTCCCGGGCGGTGGGGGTGAGCAGTCCGTCTCTCCGTGCTCTCCGTGCGGCCGGCGGGTTAAAGCCCGCGGCTTCTCTTCCTCTGCATCGCTACCCCTGAGCGGCACAGCTCTCACCTGTGCCAGGGGTGGTGTGGAGCAGCACGCTCCGAGCGCGTGCCGGCCAGGTGGTGCCACGTGGTGCAGGCGGGCCGGCAGCATCCCGGGCGTCGGGCACACACACATTCACTCTATAAGACGCACAGACATTTCCCCTTACTTTTGAGGGGGAAAAAAGTGCATCTTATAGAGCGAAAAATATGGTATTAAAACCAGCACCTTAAACTGGGACTGGAAGCATACAAGCAGTCAATGCAAGTGGATTAGAACACTTATTACATGTTCAGACCTCCAGGTCGCAGTTATTAATCTGGCTGCCTGATTCTGCACTAGCTGAACAGTCTTCAAGGGCAGCCGGTAATCCAATTTGAAGATTACCAGAGCGTAGATTACTAAGGCCAGGTTATCCTTGTTCAGCGATGGGTGCAGCTGAAGTTGGTATAAGCCACCAATGCCACCTGAGCCTCAAGAGACAAAGATAATACAAGGAACACCCCCAAGCTACAAACCTGCTGCTTCAGGGTAGTGCAACATCATCTAGAACTGGTTGAACACCCCATCCAGTCAAAGGAACTACCCACCAACAGCATCTCAGTCTTATCTGGATTGAGTTTCAGTTTGTTAGCCTTCCTCCAGACTCGTGGCAGAGTTATAGGTGGCGAACCTTTTCTGACAAGAAAGGCACTTGTTCTGGGTGCTTAGGCGTAATTATCTGATTATCCAAACCATGATTTGGAGACCTGGGAACAAGCTCTGTGTTCGTTTTGTCACAGCCTTCATCTCACATTGTGGAATGACTTTAGTGCCCAGGCAGACTTTATGTACTGTACTTTACACATGAATAGTCTTTTGCTTCTTTTTTAAATGACATTGTCACAAAGTGTACAGTCTGAAACATCCCAAATGTCAGCTTCCTGTGTTTTTATTATTATTATAAAAGAAATCCCTGTGCTGACAAAGCTATTCCAGAAGTAAAACTGAACACAGAAATCCCTGTGCTATCCTGTGCATGATCACACAACAGAAGAGAAAACAGGGGGTTCTACATGCACAATGTACAGACATCATCACTGGACAGGGAAAATCAAATTGCCCACAATGGAAAAGGGAAATAAGCTCATTCCCCTGTTTATGAATATACAATAAGTTGCCTGAGCAAAACTGGAAATATCCTGTATAGACTACCTGCCTTGATCATAGCATTGTGTGTATATTAACTTTCTTGTTGAAGATATGAAAGGCTGTTTATTTCCAAACACTGGTCCAGATAACCATCTATCTCTTATCTATGTGCCTGCCTCACTCTCTTCATCTTCAGTGAACACTTTTCTGCATATGAACACCTCTGGACTGAGCTATTGCTCAGTCTAGTGCGTAATGGACTTTGTTGTCTTCATCTGTATTGCTAGTACTGTGGCACCTGTGACCATGTAGGTAGAGGGAACACGGCATCTTATTATTTCTGTCATGGCAACAATATGTATGAAGATAAATCTGATTTATTTATGCCAAACAAAATTCCACTTACTGTCCCCAAAAGCAAAAATCATTGGACTGCTACTATCTGAAATCTAATGCAAAAAGTGACAGTCTAGCATACATGAGTTTAAGCAGTTTTATAAATACAAGGATTTTCCATTGGTTTATAATCCAGTTAGTAAAGGTATTCTAGAACTTATAAGGTACTAATAAAAAGCACACTTATACATAAATATTGTTACCAAGAGCTGTATTTTATTAGTATCCGAATCCCTTAGAACAGTTCTGTGCTGTCCTTGCACCCTTAAGAATAGCTCTTGAATGGGGGGAATGTGTGTATATGTAGTTAATTGGAATACAACATTAATCAAATCCTATAACCCTACTGAAACAACTGCCACTGTTAGAGGAAGGTGGACAGATCAGCTGTTATGATGTACTGTAAATTATTTTATTTTCACTAGAAGTCTATAAAATACAGTTTTAAATTTTAAAAAATGTTGCTGTCAAAATTAAATGGTTCTTCTGTAAATTGTACCAGATGCAATTTCAAACATGCCAGAAATTATTAATTCATGAACCCTGAGTGTTGTTCTCTAAGGATGTATACATGAGAACATCCAATACAAGTGGTTTACCAGCATAAGTTTCCAGGTTCTATAATGTGGAAGCTTATGAATAATCAATTTCAATGTAATTCAGCTGCATGTGGTGTGTTCATTGGACAAATCTTATTTGAACATGGAATGCAGCATTGGAATTCTATTTCATAGGCATTGTAACTTATTAATATTTTTGACAGTCTCGTTGCTTTAAACTGCAATTTTGCTGCAAACAAGTGCATTACAAATGTTGGGTTATAAGAAGATTGGATTCAATTAATTCTTCTTGCCTTTGGAACAGCTTCTGTCAGCAGAACAGTCGGGGGTGATTCAGGGCCGTCTTAACGCATGGTCCTGATGGGCACTTGCCCGTGGGCCCCATACTAATCTGTGTATGTTAACCCTTGGAAAATTGGAAAACTTCCAAAATTAACTAGTTGTAGTTGTCATAGGGGCCCCAGTACACTGCTTTGCCCGGGGCCCATAATGCTGTTAAGAGGGTCCTGGGGTGATTTCTCCTGCAGTCCCCTTACGTACTATGTTTGGCAGAATTCTCCAGTGCAAATTTTGTGTGGCTGTGGCAGGCGGCAGGGTCAGGTGCAGAAGTGAGAAAGGGAGAAGAAAGTGTTGCTGCATGATTGCACATCAGTCCTCATAACATTGAATCATAACTTGAATATTTTGAGAGGTTTTTAAATAGAAATTGTTTGGCTGTGTTGGGAGAGTGGAACACCAAGAAAAATGACTCTCTCCCTAATTCTAAAGATGTATGTAGCTGCAACATTATGTATCATTGCAGAACTATTACTTTATGCTTCATATTGGGTTAAATAACTTGTGTATTATGAAGTATATGATTCCAGTACTCATATCTAGAAAAAATGTCTGGCCATAGAGAAGGACTTTTAAGGTAAGCTAAGATAACAGTGCCTTTGTGAACCATTCCGCAAATTTGAATACAAGCCATTGGTATCTTTCTGTCCTCCTGAATATATCTCATGGCCTCTACATTTTGAAGACTTTGGGGGATGGAGAGTTATGCATGAACTTTTAATTCAGACTTTTAATAGGAAAGGTATCTGATTTTTTTCATTTCATGAAAGAATAATCATTTCTTTCCAAAGAAACAAAATGTTTAAACTAAGGATAAGGTAACAGGCTTCTCCTCAATGAAAATGTAATAAAAGCGGGTTATTTACTATGTGTATTGTATGAAGTACAAATTACTGCAATAAATAAAATTAATACTTAGGAAGAATTGTCCTAATTTACCATGATTGTAAAACAAGGGGGGGTGGAGGATCAATCTAACGGGTTGATGAATTCTGTTAGAGCACTGAAATAAAAGCACCACACAGCTCCAAAGAACTGCTCACATAAATAATGCAGAGACATCTGCTAGATTCATGCATGACCTTCAGCTTTGGGGAAACCTGTGGATGAGTATAACTGACTTAAAGCAGCAGATGCTACTCTAAGCAGCAGGCACTGCTGAATGGAGTTTCAATGAGCAAAAGGTCTCTGTGTTGCCAGAAAAGAGGTGCATGACAGACACAAAGCAGGGAATCTTTTGATTCCAGCCTTTATTCCATCATTGATGCAGTTTTATACTTTGTGGCTTTGCAAGGACAAAATGTAAATAGTGGAGCGATTGGGATAAATCTTGAAAAACAGATTTTGTGAAAAGTGTTCATTTTGGAAGGAAAATACACTTGACCTCCTACTACATTGTTTATGCAGTCTTATGGAATGAATATATAATTATATATAATTTCAAGGCTGATATGATTGCAAATTACCAAGTACCTAATCATGTTCTTTCTATATGTATTGTTACATTAGTGAATTATACTCCTATGACTTATTAACTACAGAATAATTACCATTGTTTTATGTTTTAAGGATGTCTATGATAATTCTTTATCCAGTGGTGCTAGACGACATGGGTCTCCTAATCTGGCTTCTTTGTGTGCATTGTTGATGTGACCATGTAGTTTGCATGGTGTAAGGATGGTGTAATAGCTCTCTCGATGCTTTAATGATGGGTTGGAATGAAATGGGCCTACATGCTCCAGATGGCTGCACCACATTGCTGTATCTCAATAATTCCTTCTATATATATCCCTGCTGGTTCTTCAGTGTCTAACTGTGGTTGTTTCCCACAGGATAGGCACCTATTGCTCTCTGCTTTGGACTACAACTACCATCAGTCCAGGCATGGCCAATGCTCAGAGATTATGAGGATTATAGTACAAAACAACAGAATGACCCAGTTTGCCTAGCCCTAACCTAACAAGTCACATGAGTGGGCTAGTGGAAGGTGACGTCCTCCGTCGCATGTTAGAACAGGCGGTGGCTAACCTGGACTTGTAGGTTTTACAACTGAAGGAGCGGGGAGTAGCCATAGTGCTCAAGTTGCAAAATGTATGTGCTACCGCAACTTTGCCTCTGTGGTGGTACCGGTGTCCCAGAGTCTGCCTCTGATGGCTTAGTTCTTATAGACTGGTTGAGCAGCACTGTGGTGAAGCTGTATAAGAAATTATAGGGAAGCTCTTTCAGAATTTGAGTATCCTAATTTGGAAAAGCTTAGAAATGCTTCAGGTTCTTATGGTTGCTTCATGTTGTTAACTTCAGCTGTAAGTCAGAAATAAATGAAAGCGTGTCTAGAGTGTTCCCGTGTGAATTAATTGTTACATTAAAATGTGATTGTGCATCAAAAGACATGCTTATCATTCTTCCTCTTTGAACAGAGTGTGGATTCTTCTTGCAAACCTCATCATATTGAGGTGGGGCTAAGATGAGCATAACCAGTGACGAAGTGAATTTCTTGGTGTATCGCTATCTCCAAGAGTCAGGTAATTTGTTTTCCATAACTATACACTAGCACTGTATGTCTTTGAGAGTGTTTTTACAAAGTAATTTTGCCAGTAATTTTGAATTTGCATTGCAAGTTTTATTCAATATAGACATAATATAATTTTTATGTTTCCCTTTATGTTTGTAACAGGCTGTTTTTGTTTACTAAGATTCTTTCATTCTTTAACATTTTCATTCTGTTAAAGAAGTGTTTGAGAGTAATAACATTTCAATCAAACCAACTAGAATGCAGTAAAAACAATACTGAAATGTAACTAGAAGGATAGCATCAGTAACATGGGGACAGAAAAGCAAATCAAGACTGTTGATTGATAGCTTCAGTTTGTATAAATTCCTGTTCCCCTATGTATTTCCATATCTTCCAATTATTTTATAAATAACATGAGGTGAATCAGAGAAACTACAATTTTCATGGGCAAAGAAAGCAGAAAGTCACAGTGCAGAAATTAAGAACAAGGTTCATATGTGTACAGCTGGTTCAGGTCTCTCACTCACTAAAGCTATTTTCCATCTTGCCTGAATTTAATTTTAGCTTGTTCTCCCACATCCAGGCCTTCATGGCTCTCAAACACTAGTTAAGAACTTCCACTCCCCTTTGGGATTGAATGAGAAGAAGATAGAAAACAGGATGTCATGAGCATTTTGATGGCAACCAGACACCTTCCTCTTTTGTTTTCTTATCTCCCAACCTCCAGCTCCTTTCTCCTATCAGCAGTCCTGGATTTCATTTTTATTTAATTGGCCATGATAGCTCTATAAGAGCTCATTCATAAGTGTAAAACTGAAGATATCTCAAAATGGTAGTAAAACTAAGAATATTCCTCTAAATTCCAAGAGATTGGAGATCTTACCCTTTAGAAAATTGTTTTAAATTTTTTGAAATGTGGTGGACATACTATACTACGATATAATGCAGAAATGCAAAGCAGCCTTTCACAGCATTTGTAACTATAAAAGAATAGCTTGTAAGAAGAATAAATATATTAATGGACACTTTTATTGCATTTTGTGAAAAGTGTATGTTTGGTTTTCAAACAACTTGAGAGATCAATTCCTGTTGGTTATCAGGCTTCATGAAATACCTTATGGTACAGTTCTATGACTAGGTACTCAGAATAAAACTACTGACTTTAACTGGATGTATACTCAGATAAGTTGGCTTTCACAGATGTGCCAGGTCTGTGGCTCACAGGTATTGGGAGTGTAGAAGTGAAATTTGTCTCTTAAATAATTTGCTTTGGATTAAACAAACTTGATGTGGCACTTTTGGGCAGTTGAAAGATTCAGGTGAAGAGAGGCGCCAATATCTGAGGATGTTCACTGTACTAAAGGCCTTCCCAACCCTGTGTTGGCCTTAACAAAACATGACCAGTTCTGGAACTAAATGACATTTTGATTTTACATTCTTGTTACCTTAAAACTGTTAACTTGGGTAGAACTAGGGATTATTTTCTGCTTCTTAGGAATTCATTTTTTTCTGTATAGGAGAAAGTGATTATTACCCGAGCATCTGAATACTTGGTGACTTGTAAGTCATGTGGCATACTTGAGCTACATTTTTCCAGAAGTTAGTTATTCTGGAATCTACTGGAGGCATGTTAATAGAAAAGCTTAAGATCTGAGTAAGGCAGTTTGTCATGGACCAGCTTAGCATGAATTGAAAGAAAGGAAGGTTTACTGTCTTGGCAACCGTAAAGGCTATGGTGACCATCTATGCAAAATTTTGGTGTTTGAAAACCTTGTGTAACTCATTACCTTATGTCAACAGCCTATTCACTATTGCTCATTACAGTTGGTTATTATGATTGGCTGCAGAGTACAGCTTAGGGCAAAGGCTGTTAAGTATAATTTTTCTTTGCCATAAAATGAAACTTGATACTGTCTCTATTACCTCCTTTAACCTTTTTTTCCTCCCATGGAAAAAGGTGAAATATAATTTTCATCTGTCTGGGTAAAAAAGGATCTGTTTTGTGCCTTGTCCATATTGTAAGGACTTCAGGTTTTATCAGTCTGTGTATTTAGTTATAATAACTGGATGAATCTGTGGTGCTCTTAATTTAAGTGTCATGTTATACAAAATGGGAAAGAATTACTTTAATTGTAGTTGTTTTCCCTCTGAAAACCTGGAATGGTTTACAGAACTGCTCAATGATGCTAATCTAAAATTTCTTTTCTGATTTATTAAACATTATAGAAAGCACTTTCTGTGGCATATTTTCCTTTGAAAGATGACTGAATTCTGAATAGTTTTACATCCTTGACAGATACTGACACTGTCAGCTATCCAACAAAAGGCTTTAACTGTGTTAGATGTTATAGTTACACACTAAATTCTGTGAAACTGAGTAGACGCTCATGAGAATTATTGAGTTGATTGATGAATAAAGTAAAAGAAGATCCTTTCTTGTCCATTCTCAGGAACTGTGGGATGGCTTATAATACAGGATGTGTTTCCTGTAACTCAGGAAATAATTGTTCTAAGCACAGTAATTACCTTCTTAAAAATAATACAATGTTATTTATAGTAGGGTTGATCTGGGTGAAGGTTTCATAGATCTCCATGTATTAGTGAATTTAGTCCAAAAATTCACAGCTTAGGCTACAGCCCTTCACTTTTTTTACTTAGGAATAAGCACCACTGAATGTAATATGACTTACTTTTGAGTAGACATCTATAGGTTAGGGTGGCTGCTTCAATCACCAAAAGCGTGGACAAAAGATGATACAAATATGCATACAAACAATGTGTGCTGATTTACATAGCTGAACATTTAGAAATGTTTATAGTATTTTAAATGGAAATACAAGAAATTGCAACATAATGTGCAAGGCTGTGACCAGGTAGCCTTGAAGCCTGCATGTTCAGCCTGCCATCCTGATGCTAAGTGTTGAATGGCGAAGTTCTTAATGGTTCTCTAAATAGAGAACACCACTCTGTAAATGCAGATACATGTTCACCTACTGTAGAATTGCACTTCGAACGCTACTTTGGCTATTAAAATGAATGGGTTAGCTCCAGAATGAGTTAGTCTTAAAAGCACCTTTTCCTCTGTGTGCTTTGCTCCCTTGTCCCTTGCTCGTTCTTCCTTTTCTGTCTCTGCGGTGTTACCATTTGCCTGCTCGACCGAGCAAGTCAGCCCCAGCATCTACTGTTCCTTGTCACCACAACTGTTGCTTGAGTCAGAGTGAGAGGAAACTGAGCAACTTGCTGGCAAGGGTGAAAACAAGGAGCAGGTCCAGGGAGCTCTTATCACTGATCTCTTGCTGAGTTGCAGACCTGGGTAGGTACCCAACCATGCCAGCTTGTGATGTTAATGGCCATAGTTATTGTTACAGCATGGTGTGAGGGACAGTGTGCCAGACTAGAATTAGGAACATCTGTTTACAAATCCCTGCCCAGCTGTGAAACTTGATTTGTGCTCTTTGACCAGTCAATATTTCTTATCCTTGCCTGCTCGGTAGAGTTGTTGGGAGGATAAGAGGGTGGGGGAGAATGTGAATAGCATCAGGATTTCTTAGAGGAAGGGTGAGATAAAATTAAGTAAATAAAAAGTAATTTATTAACCATTAAAAACAGGAAGAGTATTAAAGACACACACACACACACACCCCGGCTGAGCAATTATTGAAGTGATACTACCCCTTGAAGAATATGGCAACATGTCATGCATGAGAGGGGGGAAAAGATTGTATATGTTTGACTTCTTGAGTGAATGGATGCTCTTGAACTGCAGGTGGAACAAAGTAAATGGTGTTTTGAAGCTATCTAAGTATATTCTGTCTTTACAGAAGAAGTGATAACCATGTGTGGAGACGAAACATGCCACACAAGAAGGTGAAAATATAAGGTGTTCTTAGTTATTTGCTATAATTTAAGTAAGAGAGAATGGACCCTTAGAATAGGTTAGAATAAACAAATATGTTTGTGATGCAACGCACATAACACACCATTCCAAAAACAAAGAAATGACTGCCCACACAGTATCTGGTTTTTAAAGTATTTATTTAACATGGGACATTTCAGTCAGAAACACCAGCTTCAACTGTGATACAAGTATGTTACAAACCCATTGTAAACTGAACAAAGACAAATCAGGAGCAAGTACAAACCTCAATGAGGGAAGAACAATTAGTGATCAACACCTCTATTCCACAGCCAATCAAACTATTCTTAATATCAGTCATGTGCTCCTTTTATCTTTTTAGGAGAGGTCTTCCAGATGTAAAGAAATTACGTTCCAATCACTCTGTTTTAGAAATAGCATACTTAACTATGCGTTCTTCCTTATTTTCTTCACAGATAGGGCATTCCAGTGTCCAGTATTTGTTGTCATACAGCTGAGACTTCACAGGATATTATTGGATCAACACAAACAACATTTGCCTTAATGTTATGCTGATCAAGGATCTTTGGGCTTCCTATGCAAATATATCAGTCAAAAATGGGATTTCCAAAATAGATGGTCCCCTGGTATACCACACTCTCCTAAAAGTCAGCAGTGCTAATCTATAACCATTAGTTCATGTCAGTTTTACTTCCTTTTGTTTTGATTACATAGCATAATTAATTGGAGACCCCCTCCCCATAGCTTTCAGAACCATGTTCTCTGACTTTTCACTAGCACTTCTGTGAACTGAGTTATAGTTCAATAATATATCTTTTTTCACAGGCTTCTTATACCACTTGTATAGATGCCTGTTAGGATATAGATTGCACTTCCAGAAAAAGGAAACCAACCATCTACATCTGGCTGCTCCCATCTTAATTTTATGCCATGCATTTCATCTTCCTCTTTATCAACTTCAATTACTGTGCATACTATAATTATACTGTCATCTATATATTCATAATACAGAAGAATGTCACAGTCACTAGTGTCTTTCAATGGATTCCATATATGCAGTAACCATTAATGGTGCCAATCTATTTCCCATTGCTAAAGCACATTTCTTTGAAAAATATTCACCATTAGAGTGA